GATGAACAACTCAAATTCAAAAATTATGACCATGGTTTATGAATTCATGCATAAATCTTCAATTACAAAACAAGGGGAAATCAATCAACACAAAACAAAGGATCAAATCATAGTCATAGAAATCTCAAACGCCAAAGAAACTTAAAATCAAGACTATAAAAAGAAAAAAATACATCGTCCCCAGCTTAGCGAGCTGGAAAAATCTATGATCAAAACAACAAAGAAAGCAAGCATACCTCCATACTCCTTGTGCAGGGTAATTAATTTGGTGCAAAAATAACTGAAATTAGTTAAAGACATCTTATCAACAATACAGCATATATACTGTAATAAATTGTTAAAATTCTCATAATTTCTCTTTATGCATCAAACAGATGGATGAGTGAAAATACAACAAATTAAATGCAATGTTGTTTATGTACCTGGAAATTGAATTAGGATCTTAAAAGGAAGACAATGGAATGACACAATGCTTCGAGACTCCAAAGTCCCGTGGTCGGAACACCCTCCGCTTCACTTCCCTTTGGTATTGCTGCTTTGTTTGGCTTCACCGACCCATGCCCCGCTTCGTCGCGTCGCCCAGATCTGCAAGAAGAGAAGGAACAACAAGGGATTAAAAATTACAGCTTTCACCAAAACTCACACTACCAACCAACCATCATCATTCATCACCACCAAATTGGTAGCAGAAACACCAAAAAAGGAAAAAAAATCAGAGAAAAGGAAGGACACTCACAGAAGGAGGAGAAATGGGATTTTGGTGGGGATTTTCCGGTGAGGGGAAATGGGCTTTTCTGCTTTGAAGTAGTTAGGGAGAAAGACGGCCGATGACTGAGATGCTTTGATATTTCTGATCTGCTTTGGAAAAAGGTGGGCAAGAAGGGAGGGAGAACAAGGCACGTTTGACTACTTCAAAGACAAAGAAAGAAAGGAAGACAGGGGAAATGGGTTTTCTGCTTTGAAGTAGTTAGGGAGAAAGAAGGCCGGTGACTGAGATGCTTTTATGTTTCTGATCTGCTTTGGAAGAAGGTGGGCAAGAAAGGAGGGAGAACAGGGCACGTTCGACTGCTTCAGAGACAAAGAAAGAAAGAAAGACAAGGGAAACAAAGAGGAGGTATAGAATGGCCCTTTATATAGTGGTTTTTTTGTAAATAAAAAGAAGTGTGAGGGCAAAATGGGAATGCCATTTCAATTTCATTAAATGTTTAAGCGAGAAGCTCCCACAAAAGTAAGAAATGAGAGCTTCTGGCCTTTGCAAAGGAAAGGTGAGAAGCTGAGTTTCTCAAAAGCTACAGCCACTTTAAGAAGCTGACCCATTTGGTACAGTTTGTGCTTTTAGAGCCAAAAAGCTATTCCCACAATCCGCACCAAACAAGCTCTTATTAATGGGTAAATGTATACTTTAGCCGCGGATAGCAGCTGCCATAGCCGCGGATAGCAGCTGCCATAGCCGCTACTGAATAGGTAATTTAAAATTTCATATTTGCCTCTCTTTTTATAATCTTTTACTAATAACTTATACTTTTCTAAGGGTAAATTTGGTTTTTAAAGATCCTTTAACGCCCTAATTTCTTTCCCGTTTAGAGCGTTGCAGATCACCGCAATCTCCTCCTCCTCCTCCTTCTTTCCCTGGCACAACGATCTCTTCTTCTGATCTTCCTTCACCGCGATTCTCTTCTTCTAGTCTCCTTCTCCGATTGTCCCTCTCGATTGTCCCTTTTCCAATTCTGCCTTAGTAGAAAATTTGAAAGTAGAGCACCGAGCAAGCTTCGCCTGATCTTTCTTATTCTGATCCTCTTTGGTTACCCTGTCTGATTCTCCCCCAATTGAAACCCTAATAAGTGAGAAGAGCACTGATTTTGAGAGGTAAGCATCGTATTCTCTTTTCCCTCTAATTAGCATCTAATTTTTGTTGTAAGTTCCTTAATTTTGTAACACAAAAGAAAATCTGTGTAGCAGTGAGTGTGATGAGACTGTTTTAGTTGTTACTGCATCAGAATTTTGTAATTTTTAATTTTTTAGTTTGAAATTTTTATTTTTTTAGTAGGGTTTCTTCTGTCTCTAATTTGGGGAGGAAAAAAAAATTAATGTCATTGCTTAAAGTATGCTGCTTGAATCTTGGAAAGCATTCTCTAATTGCTCTTTCTTCTTATTAATAATGAACTGGATCAGAATGTTGAGTTACAAAATTTAAAAAAACAAAATTTGATTGAGTAAAACCTTCAAATGTTGATAATCATATGAGTTCTTAAAGCTGTAGGCCTTGTAATTTGCTGATCAAAATCAGCAGTTGTGCTCTTCTTAGGTCAATTATTCTATTAGTTAAATTTATATAATTATAGATTTAAATGACTGCTATACTGTTCAATGGCGGCCGCTTCGTTATCTGCTATGCTACCATAGCGGGTTTTTGCCTTCCCTTTATTGACTGCTATCTGCTATTGATAACCCTGCATCCAGCTGGTTGTTATGATGGTGCTTATTGATGGTTGCAACATATTGCAGAGTAAATTCAGAGGGAAAAGCTTGAAGGGGAAAGAGCAATGGTGGTTGCTAGTAGTAATCCTCACAATAAAGAGATTCAAATCAGGAAAAGAATTGCAAGCATGTAATACCCTCTCTTTGTCTGTTTGATTTTGTGTGTGCTTGCACATGTTGCTTTTGAATTTGTTAAATCAGGCACTTAGCATGCGAGTCTTGTAAATTCATTATAATTCGTAGCTTTGAGGATGCTACAGCTCAAATTCATTATAATGGAATTATGTCTTTTTTAAAGGTTTGTGTATATTTGTTTGGACTTGTGAGATAAACTGCCCAACTTTATGCAGATTAAATTCTGATAATAGCTACTTTTATGTGATGACATTCTGTCAAATAACTCAAATACTTAGTCATCACATGCTTTTAACTATTTATGCTATGAGTGTTGGAGCAATAACTCCAGTCCTGTGTATATTGTGTGCCGGATGTGCGGTATATTTGTTTTGCATATTTGTTGGTGTATGCCATATACTAGTTATACATGAATTTCTGTTAAAGGAATTCTGTGGCAAATAATTTACTATCTTTTATGTAGATTCAACAAACGAGAAGAGGATTTTCCATGCTTGAGAGATTACAATGATTATTTGGAAGAAGTGGAGGATATGAGTAAGTTTTGCAAATTATCTGTACTGCTTTTCAATTTAGAAGTGATTATTTATGAACAAAAACTTTGTTTTGCAGTATTTAAATTGATTGATGGAATAGATGTCCAAGCTATTGAAGAAAAAATTAAGAAATATCAGGAAGAAAATGCTGTGCAGATTATGATGAATCAAGCTAAGAAGGTACTCATTGAGGACTTTCCTCCCTTTTCCTTTTTATTTTGTTTGCAAATGCTGAAGGACTTCACTTGTTCATCTTTTTTTCTTTCATTTTTTCTATTGTTCTGTCCAGGATTTTGTTTGGTTTTGCTTCTATCCTTCTTGTGGTTTCTTGTTATTTTCTTTGGAAGTTGTTAATTTTTGTATTTAAAACCTAATCAAATAGGCTCAAGATCTTGACAATGCACTCAAAGCGAGCAAGGCACATCCTATACAGACAGATGCTGATGGGGTAAGAGAAAATTTTACTTTTCTGTAGATTCTTGTTTTAAGGCAATAGTTATGGTGCCTTTTCTTCTTTGATTGGTTTTCAATATTTTGATTTTAACTTGTTAATCTTGTCACCTCATTACTACTTTTTATATGGCCCAAGCTAAAAGAGAGATTAATAGCCATAATCAAGTGTCTAAGATTAAAGATGGATGCTGTGGCTGTGGTTGCAGGCTTGCAGCTGTTTTATTGCTCTTAAGCTCTAGACATTTTAGAGACATTTGGTTTTATCCTTGTGTCTTTGATGAGAAAGAAGAGGACGTATGTTAATCTAATTTCGGTTTTATTGAACCATACTACACATGTTTTTAACAATGGTAATTAAACCTTTTTCTAAGTTTGTTTAGAAGCTTTCTTCCTCATTCTAATTTGCACAAGTTGCATAATGTGCAATGTTTTTTTTGCCAAGCACAATGTACAAAATTGTGAAACCGATACAATTAACTTACAGTTTTGATGTTGTCAACACCTCTGCTGTTCCCCTGTCTTTTTGTTTGCCTTTGTTCAAAATTATATTTTCATTGTTTTGCTTTATCATACTTCAATTTCTAAGTTGAAACTTTCTCTAGCCACACCTCTTTCATAGGTCTCAACAACTTGCTGAATTGAAATTTTTGAGACAATGATTCGTCATAATTCTTTGATTTTATTTGCATTTGTCCTGATATTTAGCCAAACAAATGTGATATATGTCTGAACTAATTGTCCTTGCCCATTTATTGGATGAAACAGGTGTCAGGCCAGAACTCTCAAACAGGATTTTCTGTTCAAGGTCAATATGCACCTACTCTTGCTGGAGGGCAGCAACGACAAACGGGCATGGCTCCCCAACCTTTACCCCTTGCTAGTGGACATAGCATGCAAGATTATGCTGTTGAGGATGAGGAAATGATGAGGCTCAGAGCAGAGAGAGGTGGAAGGGCAGGTGGGTGGAGTATAGAGCTAAGTAGGAAGAGGTCACTTGAGGAAGCCTTTGCAAGCATTTGGGTTTGATGATATCGTCATGTAAGTCCAGTTGTGACACCATGTTACATGATGTTGTTCCTCCCCGGATTGAGGCATCAACCCACGTGATTTTCTGTCAAATTCTGACCTAGGAATGGAGTTAGTCATATTAACGGTTGAGAGTGTAAAGAGTGTTTCTGTTGCTCGAATGAAGCAATCCTATATTTATGCATCACTATTTCATCCACCCATACCCATGGTGGAAATGTCGTATTCATGTTAGAATGTAACTTTATCGAAATTTTGGGAGCCTCATTACCTGCGGCTTTGACTTTCAAAACTATCCTAGCATATGGGTTGATTGAAATTGGCATGAAAATTTGTCATTTTTATTTCAACCGTTCATTTATCAATATTTTATTTTATTTTTTCTCAGTGCCTATGAGATCATAAACTCAACAGAAATGCTCTTTTCAGCATAGATGCATTTTACCTATTTGAGCTTGAATTGTCTAAAATGCCCACAACATCTTGAATTGGATAGTTCAAATTGTTGTGAGCATTTTAGATATTTCGTGTTCTAACTAGCTTTTATTTTGCATATTTGTTAAGAAAATTCTAATATTTATAGAAAAAATGGAGCTATAATATATGAAAAAAATTCATAGTTGAAAATAATTAACATTAATTTAATTTACCAAAATTTTTATAATAATTTATTATATTGCATCTTTTAAATTCCATAGTTAAATCTTTTCTTATCATTTAATTTTGTGTTGATTTATCATCGTATGTAAGCTATTACACTGAATTATACTATTAGGATTTTATTTTTGAAAATCTTAATGTTTTTTTTTTAAAAAATAATATAGGATTTTAGCAGTTATGATTTACAAGTAGGATTTATATTTAGATATTAGAAATAGGTGGGGCAATTTAGCGGGTACCAAAACTTGTAGGACTGCAAGTGAAGTAAATAGAACGGGCCTTCAGGCCCAAACTAGCGTTGGCCCAACGCATCGTGAGAAACAAAGGAAATCCCTCCCTTTTTTTTTGGCGGTGAGTCAGTCGCCGCCTTTTTCTTTTCCCGTTGCCCTCCAACGGTCAGAAAATCAGAAATTCCCATAAAAATCAGGCTTCTCAGCGTTGGGCAAACGCATAGGAAACCCTCTCGCTGTTGTTTCTCTCAACTCTGTTTTGCTTGCTCTCTTGCCTCTCTTTCTCTTTCGCACTCTCCTTTGCCGGATTTTGCCTTCTCCGACTTGCAGTAAGTCATTCTCTTCCTTAATTGTTTTTCGGAATTTAAAGGTTTGTGACTTTTGTGAGCCTTTGTGGATGCTTTTTGCGAATTCTGGGCTTTGTTTTGTTAATGGGTATTTTCAAATTTGATGCCTTTGTAAGAAATCAGATGTTTCCCAGTTTCCCTTTTGGTATTCATATCCTGTTTACCTAATTTGAATCGAAGGCAAGTATTAAGGGTTTTTTTTCCCATCCAATAGAACTTAGAAATTTCGATAAATTACACATAAATTACACTTGAGGGTCGTGTTTGGCATATGGGATTTATATCGGCATTGTGTATTTGTTGACCAAGGTGGTCTCAATTGTCATTATGTTTAGTTCTTCTTTTCTGGGTCGAGATCTTTTCGGAGTTTCTGTGATTGTTACGAATTAGAATAAATATGTCAGTGCATATGTGAATGTACCTCTCGTGTTTCAGCATTAATTAGAATATTCAATATTTGGGGAGTATGAATTCCAAAGTTTGTGTTTTTATACGGGTAAATGCATAGTGTTCTTTTTGAAGTCTTTCTGAATCATTGATGTTACATTATATGTAATCTAGTTTACTTTTTAGAACTTAGCTAATTTGTTTCCTTCACGGTTGGTTTTGAAGCAGGGATAAATTGTGCCAACAATTTGCCTGAGCAGCATGGGCACCAGAGACATGCTTTGCAGAAGTCAGATGGTTGATTTGGTAGGCCATGCAAGACATCTTGATGGCGTTGCTTTAGTTGATGCTGTATCCTTCAGCAGCCCTCAATACAGAGGGAATGGTGCTCCCAGGGAAATTGAATCTCATAGAAGTTGGAGGCACAGATCAAGAACCACTGATATGGGTGCTGTTATGACAGATAATAATAACCATCTCTTTGCAAGTAACCATGTACCTCAGCCCTTTCAGCAGGCTATTATGGATGGAGATGCTTTGATTTGGAACCGGGCCTCTGTTCATCCTTATATGCATGGTAATGTCTCTATCTTTCATTCTCTTACCAATTTGGGTGCTATTTATTTTTCATGAAACTCTTCTTTTGTTAGGGAACTCATTTTTACATTATTATCTTTTATTGACTTGAAATATCTTCCTCATATAAAGAAATTTAGAATTTAAACTGAATATGATCATGGCTTCTACTTGTTAACTTGGACTCTTGTCCCTAATGTTCTTACAGGGAGTAACGCTGGTGGTCGTAGGGAGACTGGGCATAGAAGTCCCATGACCTTTTTGAGTTCTACTGCCCACTCTCGACCAACTGACTACAACACCAGCATGCATCAACACGTAGCAGGCCCACATCATCTTCCATTAAGTCATGTTGCACATAGCTCAATGAATTCTCATCAGACTGGTTTGGAGATGGGCCCTAGGCATTTGTTGCCTATTCTATCTCACCGGTCTAGGGTTCACCATTCTCAACAAGAGGGTCGTTTACCTGAAGCATCTCAAAGACATGGCAACTTTAGGCACTTGAGACTTCTACCACCAGAGGTAATATCTTCCTGTCAATTTTTCTTTGCTTTCTCGTTTTCAAGAGCAGTAAAGTTAATATTTATCTGATATTTGTATTTTTCTGATTAAGCATATCTTAACATATTTTCGGTTAATTTTATATAGGATGTTGCTGTACTAGAGTTGTCAGGAGATATGCACTTGGATATAGAGAATGCTTCTTATGAGGTAAGTTGGGTACAGCAGTGTCTTTCATTGTGCTTGCTTGAAATCTTAAGTTTTCTGACGCCTTACAAGAAATTTTCTGAATGCTGCAGGAATTGCTTGCACTTGGGGAGCAAATTGGCAGTGCTAACACTGGTTTGTCAGAAGAAATCATCACAACTAAGTTGAAGACCAGAACTTTTTCACTGTCAGCAACAAATATTAATACGGAAGAGACAGCCACTCTTGGCCAGGAACCTGATGTCTGCATTATATGCCAGGTAGTTAAGATATTACAGCTCCCAACATTATTCGTTTTGAAAGCTTGAATTTTCTTTATTACATGTTGAAGTATGAGAAAGTCAAGGTTTTTGCGTTCTGCATTTTGATTCATGGCCAAGTAACACATTTGTTTTGGAATTATTTTTACAGGAAGAATATAAAAACCAAGATAACGTTGGTACACTTAGTTGTACACATGAGTATCATGCAGACTGTTTAAAGAAGTGGCTGCTCCAGAAGAATGAATGCCCTATGTGCAGATCTCGTGGACTAACCCTAGATTGAATACACTATTTGGCTGTCCTTTGTTTATTCTGTGCATGAGCTAACCTTTAGATTGTGGGGATAATCAGTACAGGGTTGATCATATTTCGTGTTTTATTAACTCTGAGAGCTAAATTGTAATTTCTGAGTTTATCCTTTATACAATTCAGTAAGATGCTTTTAGTTTTAGGCATTTAGCTTGTATTTTATGTTTAATTAACCATGGAAGTATTTGATGTGAAGTAGGGTAACGAAGGTTTTTCCCTTTTTCTTTTCTTGCCATCAGGTATTGTAGTACTTCTATTAATGATGATTTGCCAACTTGTTTACGAACAACAAATCCTCACACTAATTAAGTAGTATTAAATGTGTGAATGCATATTAATTGAAATGTCTCCGAGTTAATAAAAACTTTGCTATCTGGTGTTTGTAAGAATTTATTGTCAATGAATCATGTTTGGTAGCTTGATAGCTAGAAAAAGTTGGAGTCAATATTCACATAATGTTTTTCTTGTAAAAAATCATACAGAGCTCATGAGAAAATGATTATTAGATGTTTTTTTTTTTTTTTTTGACAAAAACAATGGTTAGTAGGTTAGTTGCATTAGTTGTT